ACTCACAGGGCCCCTGGAGGACAGAGTGGAACTGCCCCACAGGGTTTCCAAGGCTGTCAATCTTCACAGAAGCAAAGCCCAAACCACACCCACTGCCGTGGAGTCCATTCTGACCCACAGCGCCCCTAGAGGTCAGAGTGGAACTGCACCACAGGGTTTCCAAGACTGCATTCTCTATGGGCACAGACTACCACATCTTGGTGCCAAGAAGTGGCTGGTGTGTTCAAACTGCCCACCTTTTGGTCAGTAGCCGAGTGCATAACCACTGTGCCATCAGGGCTCCTTCCTACAGCGTTACTATGAGTCAAAAATCAACTCAACAACACCTAACAACAATCTCTATGATGGCAAACCATAAAGGCTGCATGATTAGGATCAGCCCTGAATCAAGATCACACTCTGGAGGCTTTGACTCCTTTCTTAAGCCAGGTGGCAAATGCATGACCATCATTATATACTATCCTTTGCAAATATGAGTCATAGCTAGAACTGGTTCATTCCAGCTTGACCCCCTGTCAGAAGCTGGGTTTCCACCACAGATGAACTGAATCAGTCACCTACATTTGAACAGGCTCCCAGGGGATTCTCAGACACTCTTCCAGGGATCCTGCTAAAATACAGATTCTGAGTAGGTAATCCAGGGCAGAGGGGCAAATTCTCAGCAGGGGGTCAAACTGGACGGAACTGCTTGGAAGCCCCTGTTCAGGGATGTTTGAGATATTTTATTATCAATTTTTAAGAAGACCAGACTCTTCTGTTACAAGGTTAATCCTGCTGTCCCTACAGCAACTAAGCCGTTTCATTTCTGCCACCGCAGCAGCCAAGCTCCCGCCGCTCCTGTCAGGAGACGACACCCTACGCGTCCATGCGGAAAAGAGGCTTTGTGAGAAAGAAAAAAGTGAGTGGTTCTCCTTTTATAAACCTGCTTCCTGGACTGTGAGTTTTTGTTTTTTCTCTTTTTTAACTCAGCTACTAAGAGGTCAGGCTGGTCCCTTCCTTCTCATTTTTTAAAAATAATTTATGATTCTTATTGTCGTTGGGAATATACACAGCCAAACATACATCGACTCAACAGTCTGTACACGGACAACTCCGTACACTGAGGACATTGCTGTCAACCATGCTCCACCTCCTTTTCCAGGTTGTCCCTGCCCCACCAACATAAACTCAATGCCCCCTAAGGTTCCTGTCTAACCTGTCCACTTGCTCTTGTCACTTGGATTCCATAGAGATAGTTGTTTAAAACAGCTCAGTGCTCAAGACAGACAATCTTGCCTAGTTAAGCTAAAGTATTATTTAGTTTTCAGAAGACTTCAGAAGATATTTTTGGTTTAAGGTTTCAAGATTATCTCAGGACAATAGTTTCACGGGTTCACCCAGCCTCTATGGCTCCAGAAAAGCTGGATTCTATGAAAATTTGATAGTCTGTTCTACATCCTCCCCCCCTTTCGACCACTATGTTTCTATATGATCTTCGATTAAAACGTTCAGTAGAGGTAGCCAGGTACAGCCAGTTCTTCTGGTCCCACAGCAAAAGGGGCTGTTGTTCACGGAGGCATTAGGCACACATTCCATGTCCTCCTCTTGTTCCTGACTCCTCCCTCCTCTGATGCTTCAGGAAAGCGGAGACCAACTATTGTACCTTGGATAGCCCCTTGCTTTCTCCCACACTTCGATCACATGTGACTTGTGTGTGCATTCCACAAACATCTTCTGAGGGCCTATGAAGTGCAAGATTCTGTCTGAGCGCAGCTCAGAAGACAGGCAACTATAACACAAAGCCAGAGCCAGGCAAGATGCCATGGGAGCTCAGGAGGGACGCAAGTTGCTGGAGGAGATATTCTGGAGTTTACTTTACCAAGTGACAGGTCTGCAGACTCCGTGCAGAGGGTGGCGGCTGGCAACAGATCAGGAAGTGGGGCACTCAGAGGAGGACCCACAAACCGCCTGTCTCTGCAGCGTCAGGGAGCAGGTGACCGAGGGGGCTGGGAGTGTGTGGTGCATTTCTGGGTGAGAATGGTGAGTGATAAATGGAGGGAGAGGGGAGGTCAGTCAGCTCAGGCTCGGACAGACTCCCACACCAGGGCAGAAGGCTCAGGCTGCAGATTTAGAGCTTCCCAAGTGGGAGGGGCCTCAGGAGCCAGGCACTGGGACCTTCCCAGGGGAAGGGACGAGGGCACAGTGTTGGGGGGGACACACACACAAGGGCGTAAGGCCCCTCCTAACACAGGGGCACAGTGAAGGCTTCTGACCCAAGCCCAATCCAGAAACCTTAAAACAGTAACAGTTACAAACAGCTAAGCTCTGGTGGTGTAGTGCCTAAGGCACTTGACCACTAACCAGAAGGCTGGCGGTTCAAACCCACCAGCCACTCCTTGGAAGGAAGATGGGACAATCTACTTCCATAGTGATACTGCCTTGGAAACAAGGAGGGGTCGCTATGAGTCAGGTCCAACTCAACGGCACATAACAACAACAGCAAGGAACAGGAGGGAGCTATGGTGGCTCAGTGGTAGCAATTCTGCCTTCTGTGCTCGAGACCTGGGTTCGATTCCTCATCAACACACTTCATGCATACAGCCACACCACGCATCTGTCGGTGGAGGTGTCCGTGTGACCCTGTCCGTCGGTGAAGGTGTACATGCAGCCCCATTGGTCAGTGGAGGTGTACGTGCGGGCCCATCCGTCAGTGGAGGTGTCCGTGCGGCCCGTCTGTTGGTGAAGGTGTATGTGCAGCCTGTCTGTCAGTGGAGCTGTACATGAGGCCCGTCTGTCAGTGGAGCTGTACGTGCGGCCTGTCAGTGGAGGTGTCCGCACAGCCCATCTGTCGGTGGAGCTGTACGTGCGGCCCATCTGTTGGTGGAGGTGTATGTACAGCCCGTCTGTCAGTGAAGGTGTACGTGCAGCCCGTCTGTCAGTGGAGCTGTATGTGTGGCCCCACCTGTCAGTGGAGCTGTACGTGTGGCCCCACCTGTCAGTGGAGCTGTATGTGTGGCCCGTCTGTCGGTGGAGGCGTCCATGCGGCCTGTCTGTCGGTGGAGGTATATGTGCGGCCCGTCTGTCGGTGGAGCTGTATGTGTGGCCCGTCTGTCGGTAGAGGTGTCCGTGCAGCCCGTCTGTTGGTGGAGGTGTCCGTGCAGCCCCATCCATTGGTGGAGGTATATGTGCGGCCCGTCTGTCGGTGGAGCTGTATGTGTGGCCCGTCTGTCGGTAGAGGTGTCCGTGCAGCCCGTCTGTCGGTGGAGGTGTCCGTGCAGCCCCATCCATTGGTGGAGGTGTACGTGCAGCCGTGAGGCTCAACAGGTGCCAGCAGAGCATCCAAACTAAGACGGACCAGGAACAGAGGCCTGGTGGTCTGCTTCCAAAGTCAGCCAGGGAGAATCCTTGGGAGTCACAGTGGTCTGACCTCATTGTGCACACGGTGGGAATGAGGTGGGAACCGACTCTACCAGAACTACAAGGAATAGGACACGGGTGCGGGAGTTAGAAACTCGGGCTGCAGGGCAAGGTTACACCAAGGTCTAACATAACCTTGATAATGTGACGTAACCTTGATGACATTGATAAGGAGGAAGGAGGGGTCTCACAGAATCCAGACTTACTGGACCTACTGAGTGTGGAGGTGTCCTTAAGATGATGGCCCCAAGTTGCTCTTCAAACCTTGACTTGAAACTATCTCCTGATGTCACCTTTAAACTAAGTAATAGTTTAGCCCAAAGAATAAAGACTGTCACCCTGGAGTATTATACTTGTTAAAAAAAAAAAAAATGATAATAATTAACCAAATAAGACCTAAGGATCTTGTAGAAATAATATGCAAGAGTAAGAAAATGCTATGACATACAATTTGGAATCAACAGCAGTAACAACCAAAAGATACGTGAGCAGTTACATAGGCAGACACATATGCATACGTGTGTACAGTAAGGTATCCATGTATGTACAGGTGCACATACAGGCGTATCTGTAGGCACCAACACACAGATGTTTGTACACACTATGCCTATATTCACACGTGAATGATATACATGGAGGCATGGTCACGGATGCCTCTCAGACATAACCAAACACCTCGCAGGATCAGTTTACTGGCTTTGATTAGGACCATAGTCTCAGGAAAACAATGGGGTCAACTGGCACCATACAGTTATAAACTTCACACTCTATATCCTAGTAGGGGAAGTAGCATCTGGGGTCTTCAAAGCTTATGGGTGGCCATCTAAGATACAAATATGGGTCTCTACTCATGAGGAGCAAAAGACAAGGAAGGAAACCAAAGACTCAGAGAAGAATCCAGGCTACGGGACCAACAGCCCACACGTCCGCATCTACCCTGAGACCAGAAGAACTACATGGTGCCCGGCTCCCACCACTGACCATTCTGACCAGGGCCACAGCAGATGGTCCTCAACAGAATGGGAGAAAGTGGTAGGACAAAATTATAATTCTTAAAAAAGAAAGAAAGAAAGAAAAAAGGCCAGACTGAACTGGACCAGCGGAGACTAGAGGAACCCTTGACTGTCACCTCAAGACACTCTTTGAACTTGGAACTGAAACCATTTCTGAGTCCACCTTTCAGCTGAATTAAGACTGCCTCATAAATCAGACGATACCGCCCACGAGTCCTATGCTTCTTAAAAATCATCTCTGAGACCAAATGGTCAACATTTACCACAACGCCAAGATGTTGGTGGAGGGTGGGGCAGGGAAGCTAGATTAATGGGAACAGAACCACCAGAAGGGACACAATGAGGATGCTGACACACTGTGGAACATGTCACCAATGTCACTGGATAATACGTATAGAAATTATTAAATGGAAACATAATTTGTGGTGTAAACTTTCACCAAAATCTCAGTAACATGTTACAAATAACAGTAATAAATAACTAACCAAGCAACTAACTAACCAACCAAAGGGGCAACAGTTACTTTAACACACAGATGAGAAAGATGGGGGCAGGGAGATTAAGTCAATGACAGCTGAACAACAACAACAGAGATTACAGAAATGGTGACGTAACGTGAAGAAAGTAACACTGTCCCTGATTATTGTACCTACAAACTGCAGAATGGGAATGGGTTAAAGTAAGAAAAAAATTAAATAGAGAAATTAAAAAAAAAAAGAATGGCTAAAAACTTATACACCACTCAGCCCCAACCCCATGCCAGAAAAGGTTAGTGTTGCAAATAGAGTAATTCCTGTTGTCCTTTACATCAGCCCTGAGAAATATTTTCTGACATACATCCTAACCCACTGCCCTGGAGTCGATTCTGACTCCCAGCGCCCCTAGAGGACAGAGTGGAACTGCCC